AGCTGCAGGGCCCGGGCGCTGGGCTCTGGCACAGACAGCCTGGCGTAGAGGTCTGTGATCTTCTCTGGAAATCTGCTGCCCTCCTAGGCTCCTGGCCTCCTACAGAGAGGTCTAAAAACCCGAGTCACTCTCTCCTGAACTGGCTCTCTGGCAGATCTATGGGAAATTAACCTTTATTAATTTTATGCTGCTTACAAAATAATACATCCTTACTTATTATAAATTGTAAAACAGGCCAGATGCAGTGGCTGACTCCTGTAATCCCAGCACTTTGGGAGGCCAAGGCAGCCGGATCACTTGAATCCAAAAGTTTCAGACCAGCCTGGGCAGCATGGAAAAACCCCATCTCTAAAAACATGTAGCTGGCATATTGACTTGCTCAAATGCAAATGTTTATCCAACCGTGTTTAAGTGCGGCCTTTCCGGCCTTGTCACGGGTGCTGCGTCTTTGATTTAATCCTTTGCTGCATCTGGTGGCTTCCCACAATCACAGCCTCACAGGGAGGCCACATCTCTTACAAATTCGGGTCGCAGGGCACATACGTTTTTCAGGATTTGCTCCCGTTGCTAGGTCTGTGTGTTCACAGCACATGAGCTTGGCTCGACCCTAGGTCTTCAGCCACACCCTTTGTGTGAGGCAGAGAAGCTCCCTCCCTCCTGTCAGGCGCTGGTCTCAGGACCTGTGGCCTCCAGGGCCTTGCTGAGAACCGGCCCTAGCTGGGGCATATCACACCTGGGGCTGCATCAGGCACCAGCTGCAGGAAGCCCAGCCTGGCCTCACCACATGCTGCTGGCACCGTCCGGGCTGAGGCACAGGTGACAGACGACAGCTCTCATAGGGGGCAGGAGGCAAGGGTGTGCACCGGCTTCCTTCTCAGAAAGGCTTCACACTGAGTCGGCGTCAAAGCACACGTCCCTGCTGTGAGAGCATCAGCCTGTGGCTCAGCAGCAGACTGGCCAGGCATGGCCTTGTCCGCTCTGGGGCTGTGGCCGCTGCTCCTGGGCCTGCTGGACCCTCTCTCCCGGTGAGTGTGTGCTGCTGTCTGCAGGGCGCTGGGGGTCGGAGCATGGGGGAGGGGCCACGACACAACGGTGGTCCCATCAGCTCCTTGGTATGAATCCTGTGCGCCTCAGCTGGGGACCCAGAGGGCTGGGGTGCCGCCTGCAGGGTGCGTGAGCGGCAGAGTGACCAGAAGCTTGTTTTCTGTGTGCCCTCCACATGCATGTGAAAGGCTGGGACCTTAACCTTGTTGAACTTCCTCAGAAAATGGTCCTCAGGACATTTTTGTTAACATTTTGTTCATTTTTGTTGGCATTTAAGTTCGTTAATGTCATTGGTGACATCCTAATAAAGTGTGAGAAAACGGGAGTCAAGAGGAAGGGGGCAAACCGGAATGCAAGGTGAAAGTTAGATTTCTAATGTTGAAACTTCTGGACGTAAAGTACTCAGGGCCCTTTGCCGTTCCCATGTTCTTTTCCCCGAAGCTCCTGCTGCAGAGTCTCTGGCCCTGGTGAGGGGCGGAAACCGCTGCGAGGGTCTCCTGCAGGTGCAGTCCGGGGGGCAGCAGGGCCTGGTGTGCGGGGACCACTGGGCCTGCGGGAGGCATCTGTGATTTGCAGGCAGCTGGGCTGCGGTCACGCCCTCTATGTCCCCACGTATGTGGTGTGGCCCCCGGAGGCCCAGAATTCCCTGCTGCGGGGCGTGCAGTGCCGGGTTGTGGAGGCCTCGCTCTGGGAGTGCTCCTGGGGGGAGTGGGGTCGCTGCACAGCTGCGAGTGTGAATGCATCGGCGCAGTCCACTGCTCAGGTAGGGTGCGTGCCCCGGGAGTCGCTTCTGCCAGTCTTTGGCCTTGTCCCCACCCACGACCTTCACTTTTGGGAGGAGCGGTGCTGCCTGAGTTCCCCAGGGTGGAAGACAAGACCCTTCTTCCTGGGGTACCCGTAACTCCAGTGCTGTGACCCTCAGACCCTCATGGTACTGTAGGATCCCACATGTCCCCTCCAGAGGCCCAGACAGCGCAGCACAATTGAGGAACACATTACACACCAGGCCAGCCCTGGCAGGGACCCCAGCCTGAGTTCAGTCCTTTTGTCGACCATCAAGCAAGGGGCCAGTGGTGGCCACAGGACCTTCTGGAGTGAAGGGTCCCTCTCTTCCTCCCGAGTGGCTGCTGTGAGTGGAGGCAGCAGCCTGGGGCCTCGGGCAGGCGTGGAGTGAAGGGCTTTCTCCTGGCCCCCGTCTTGGCTTTCTGCCCCTGCGCTGTCCCTTGCCAGGGCTCACTCAGGGCTCTGAGCTCCTGGATCTGCCCCGCAATTCAGCACCGCCGTCCCATTCAGGCTCTGGCTGGGACCCTGCCCTTTCCCCTCTGCTGGATTGTTGGTGAGAAGCAGAGGCTCAAAGTGGCATATTTGAGGAGAAAGATGAGGGGTGTTGACAGGTGAGGAGGGGCCACTGGCACCAGAGGGCCCTGACCTGCAAAATCCAAGGCATGAGCTCCAGCACCAGAGACAGCTGGCCCTGTGCAGAGACTCCCGAGGGGTGTGACCAGGGGCCTGGGATACTGGCCTGCAGGGCCCCTCAGAGGAGCAGACGGGCCGATCTCCCATCTTCTGTCCTCTCCACCAGAGGGGCCCTCCCTGTGGGCAAGGCCCCAGATGCCAGAGGGCATGAAGCTTGTCCTGCCATCTATGCAGGTGGCCTCAGGCCCAGTGTGGTGGGGAGAGGGGACCTAAAGTGGGCAGGTACAGCCTCTGGCTGCCTCCTCTGGGGTCCTGAGCCCGAAAGAAAGGCCTCTGCTGCAGGCTGGCACACACCTCATCCTTCCACCAAGCCCACTGCCTCAGTCCTCTGGAGTCCACGTGTTAGGGGTGGGAGGCCGTGCCCAGCAGAACTGGAGTGGAACCAGAGTGGGCACCTGTGTGTACAGGAGGAAAGCTGGTGTCCTTGGGGCTGAGTGGTGGAGGCAACCCCTGTGCGGGGACCCCGGAGATCTGGTTACCTGAAGGCCCTGTGGTAAGGTGCGGCTTGCACCAGAAGGAGGCCAGTGTCTTCTGCAGGAGGCTGGGATGCGGCCTGGCACTCCAGGCATCCAGGCCCTACCTCTCAGGGCACCCAGGCTGGCCAGGTTCGAAAATCATTTCCTGCCAGGGAACAGAGGTCAGCATCTCCAACTGCAGGTTCAACCTGAACTTCCTAGACCACTGTGACCTTCCAACAGACTCTGAGGTGGTGTGTGCAGGTAGGAACGCCCTTTCCTGAGGATCTCCAAGATGGGAGGTGTCCACTCAGAGCAGCATCCGGGGGCTGAGGGGATGGCCCCGGCCTAGGGGGAGTGGGGGACTTGTCCCCTGGGGCTTCAGTGCCTGCCCAGCAAGGCCCCTATGCTGCTGCCCTCAGACTGCACCCCTGTCCTGGGGAGAGGGAGGGGCTGGTGGCCCAGGGGTCACCTGGGGAGATGGCTGACACTGATGGCAGCTCCTCCCTCAGGGCCCTGGCCAGAGTGTGGCTGGGCACTGGGCTTAAAACTGACCAGTGATTAAAGTGGCCTGCCAGGGACCAGGTCCAGCCCTGGGAGTAGGCTCCATGACACAGATGCGGGGCCCGGTCGCTGGGAGTAGAAATCCTTGCTTGGGGGTGGGCGCGGTCGTCGTGGGAACCAGGACCCCGGGGAGATGGAAGGGTGGGAGAGGCCTCGGCCTGCACACCCAGGACCTCTCCTGCCAGGGGCCGGGCCAGCTCAGACGGTCCTTCCCGTGGGACCCGAGGGCAGCGGTCAGGTCACCGTGCCCCAGAGGCCTGCCCGGAGCGCGTCCTGCCCTGTGCTCCACCCAGCGTCTGCCCCCAGGACACACCGAGGCCCGGCTGGTGGGCGGCGGGCACCCCTGCGCCGGGCGCCTGGAGGTGCGGCGGGGCCTGACCTGGGGCGCCGTGTGCGACGCGGACCTGGACCCGGCCACGGCCCACGTGGTGTGCCGGGAGCTGCAGTGCGGGGCGGCGGTGTCCACACCCGGGGGCGCGCGCTTCGGCCGGGGCTCGGGGCCGGTGTGGACGGAAGCCTTCCGCTGCGCGGGCAACGAGTCGCTGCTGTTCCACTGCCCGCGGGCGCGCGGGAGCCGGTGTGGACCCGGCCGCCACGCGGGGCTCCGGTGCGCGGGGGAAAGTAAGTCGCGGGCGGCTCCGGGGCTGGGGCCGTGGGCGGGACGGAGCTCGGGGCCCTGTGAACCCGCGCTGGGCCTGGGGTGCCGCGACCCCCGAGCTTCCTTCCCGGCTCCCGCAGGGTGGTCGTCTCCGGAGTTTACTCAGGACCCTTTTCCACGCGGACCCCACACCCCAGGATCATCGACGGTATTTCCTCCACCCCGCGGGAGTCTTTTACTTCAGATAACCTCCCTTCACGCACAAGCGTTTAATTTTGAGGAAGTCCTGTTTACCCACTTACTCCCCTTTTGTTCCTTGAACTTTTAGTGTCATATCCAAGAATCCACTCTCTAATCCGAGGTGGTGAAGAATATTCCTGTGTTTTTTTCTCGGTTTTATAGTTTCAGCTCTATTTGGTCTTTGATTGACTTTGATCACGTTTTGTATACGGTGTGAGGAAAGGGTCCATTCATTCCTGTGCATGTGGCTATCCAGCTGACCATTTGTTGAAGACACTATTCTTTCCTCATTTTTTAAAACATATATGTTGATATTGATTGTTCTAAAATGACACATAATAATTGTACAGGGTGATGTCTGAATACATACACACCTTCTGTAATGATCAGCTAATCTCTCCGAGTGACTTTTCTTCGCACCATGTGAGGATCAGTTACCCTCGCATGAATAGATTTACTTTGGGACATTCAATCTGCTCTGTTGACTTATGTGTATTTTTATGCCAAGAGCACACTCTGCTGATTTTTGTAGTTCTCTAGTAGTTTTGAAATAGGGAATGAGTCCTGTAGCTTTTTCTTTTTCAGTATTGCTTTGGTTATTTAAGGTCCCTTGAAATTCCATGTGAATTTTAGTATCAGTTCTTCTATTTCTGAACAAAAAATGGCTGTTGGGATTTTGTAAAATCTGTAGATTGGCTTGGGAGTATTGCAATCTTAACAATATTAAATCTCTCAATCTATGAACACAGGATGTCTTTGCATTTGTTTAGGTTTTCGCTGATTCTTTTAAAAAATGTTTTGTAGTTTTCAGTGTACAAGTCTGTCTTGGACCTCCTTGGTAAACATTATTATCATTATGTCATTCTTCTTTAAATGGACACATTTGGACACATACTAATTGTACATATTTATGGGGTTCAGTGCAGGGTTTCAGTGCATGTATGTGTTGTGTAATAACCAGATCAGGGCATTCAGCAATTCATCACCTCAACATGATTATTTCTGTGGTGATGACATTCAAAATCCTCTCTTCTAGTTATTTTGAAATTCATAGTACAATATTATTGATTGTATTCACCTGACTGTGCTATGGAACACAGAAACTTATCCCTCCTGTCTCTACCGTTGTATCAGTTGACCAATCAACGCCCACACCTCCTCCTCACTACCCTCCCCTGTTCTACTCTCTACTTCCATGAGATCAACTTTTCAAGATTCCATATGCAAGTGGGATCATCTGGTGTTTGTCATTCTCTGTCTGACTTATTTCACCTAACATAATGTCTGCCAGGCCATCCACATTACAGCAAATGACAGGATTCCATTCTGTTTTTAAGCCTGAATAAGGTTTCATTTTGTGTAATATGTAGACCACAGTTTCCCTGTTCATCCACTGATGAACACGGGTTGAGTCCATAGTTTGGCTATTGTGATTAGTGCTGCCGTAAACATGGGGTGCAGTATCTCTTCAGCTTACTGATTTTCTCTCATTTTGCTAATTGTTCTCTTTGCTGTGTGGAAGGTTGTTAGTCTTATGTAACCCCATTTGTCTATGTTTGCTTTTGTTGCCTCTGCTTTTCAGGTAATATCCGAAAAATCCTTGCTAGACCAATGTCCTGAGCACTTCCCCTGTTCTCTTCTAGTTGTTTTTATCGCTGCAGGTCTTACATTTAAGTCTGTAATCAATCTTGAATTGGTTTTTGTATATAGTGAGAGGTAGGGTTCTGGTTTCATTCTGCATGTGGATATCCAGTGTTCTCAGCACCATTTCTTGACGAGACTGTCCCTTTTCCAATGTGTATTCTTGGCACCTTTGTTAAAAATCAGTTGGCTGTGTGTGGATTTATTTATCTTCTCTCTCTGTTCCACTGGTCTGTATGTCTATTTTCATATCAGTACCATGTTGTTTTGGTTATTATAGTTTTGTAGTATATTTTGAAATCCAGCAGTGTGATGCCTTCAACTTTGGCGTTTTTGCTCAGGATAGCTTTGAGTATTCTTGGAGTCTTCTTTTATTATTGTTCAAAGCTAGATTATAGAAATGCATCTAATTTTTTGCACCCTAATTTTTCCTGAAATTGCCTATGGCTTTAATTTTTTTTTGGTGTATTCTGTAGGATTTTCCATATATAAGATCATGTATCTGTGAATACAGATAGTTTTACCACTTCTTTTCCAAAAGGATGCTTTTTATTTCTTTTTTCTTACCTAATTTCTCTGGCTAGAACTTTTAGTAGAATGTTGAGTAGAAATGGTGAAAAAGTGCATATTTGTCTTGCTCCTTATCTCAAGGGAAAAGCTTTTAGTTTTTCTCCATTAAGTATGATGGTAATTGTGGGTTTTTAATAAATGTTCTTTATCACATTGAGAAAGTCCCCTTCTGTTCCTTGTTTGTTGAATGTTCTATCATGATAGTGTGTTGGATTTTGTCAAATGCTTGGTCTGCATCAATTGAAGTTATCATTTTTTTTCATAGTATCTATTTGTACTTCTCTTTATTTCTGTAGATTTCATACCAAGTATCCCCCACATTTGTTTCTGATTTTGGTAATTTTGGTGTTCTCTTTTTTTATTGGTCAGCCTAGCTAAATATTGTCAATTTTGTTGATCTCTTCACAGACTCAGCTTTTATTTTTGTTGTTCTGTCTATTGCTTTTACTTCTATATTTCATTTACTATCTCCTTCCTTCTGCTAGCTTGAGGTTTAGTTTATTCTTCCTTTTCTACTTTTTTAAGGTGTGAATGCCATTATTGATTTGAGATATATATTTGCTCTTAATATAGATGTTTGTTACTATAAAATTTTTTCTAAGCATTGCTTTCATTTCAATCAATAAATTTTGTTATGCTGTGTTTTCATTTTCATTCATCCAAAAGTATTTTCTAATTTCCCTTGAGATTTCTCCCTTGACTTATTGGTTGTTTATGAGTGTATTCTGTTTTTTAATTTCCCAGTTTCCCTTTTTTAAAAAATTTCTTTCTAGCTTCATTCCTTTATGGTCAGAGAAGATGCTATTTATGATTTCAGTTCTTTAAAATTTATTCAGACTTGATTTATGCCTCAACACAGGGTCCACCTTGATGAACATTTCATGTGCACTTGAGAAGAATGTGTATTTTGCTGTTTTTAAGTAGAGTGTTTTATATATGTTTGTGAGGTCTGGTTGGTTTATGGTGTTCTTCCAGTTATTTCTTTTCTTATTAGCCTTATACATAGATGGTCTATCCATTATTAAAAGTGAGCTGTTTTTGGCTCCCGTTATTATTTACAGTCATTTACTTCTGCCTTCAATTGGTCAATTTTTTCTTTATTACTTTTGGCTCTGTTATTAGCTGCACATATGCTTATATTTGTTGTTATTCTTTTGATGGATTGACCTTTTAATAAATGTATAATCTTCTTCTTATCTCTCCTCACAATTTTTAACTTAAAAGTCTGTTTAGTCCATTTAGGCTGCTATAGAAAACACTGTAGGCTGGGTAATTTGTAAATGACAGAAATCTATGTCTCAGAGTTCTGGAGGCTGAGAAATCCAGGGTCAGGGAACCAGCAGGTTCAGTGTCGTGGGAGGGGGGGCATTCGTCGTAGATGGGGCCTTCTTTGTGTCCTCACATAATAGAGGAGCAAAAGAGGAAAAGGGATGAAATTGCTCCCTCGAGGCTTTATAAGGGCTAACCTCCTCCATGAGGATAGAGCCCTCCTGGCTTATAACCTCCAAAGACTTCACCTCTTAATACTGTTGCTTTTCAGATTCTGTTTCAGCATGAATTTTGAAGGAACACAAACATTCAACCATGACTGAGTCTATTTTGTCTGATACTTGTGCAGCCACTTCAGCTCTCTTTTGGTGACTATTTGCATGGATATCTTTCCCCAGCTTTCACTTTTAACCTAATTGTCTTTTGATCTAAAGTGAATTGATGAAGAGAACATATTTTAAAACAATTTTTAAAAAATCAATTTTGTCTCTCTCTGCCTTTTTAGATGGTTTAATCTCTTTACTTTTAAAGTAATTACCAATAAAAAGTATTCACTTCTGCTGTTTTTACTGCCCTCTTTTGTGTTTAATTGACATTTATAGTATACCATTTTCATTCCCTTTCCATTCTTTATTTTTTGGATTTCTTAGCTTTTTCTCTAGTAGTTCCCCTGGAGATTATAAGCAATATTTTTAATTTACAAACCTCTGGTTTGAATTAAAACCAACTTAGTTTCAATAGTATATAAAATCTCTGCTCTTAATATTGTTATTCTCACTAATTCATCTTTACACATTGTTAATCCTTTAACATAAATATATAATTTTGTTTCATGCCTATGTTTTTTTAAAGCATATAGGAACAAACAAAGGAATAACAAACCACAAATACAATACTGTTGGCCTTTATAGTTTCCTATGTAATTATCTTTATCAGTGTCATTAAGTTAATCATTAAGACTCTGATTTACTGTTTAGTGCCTTTATTTCTGCCTGAATTAAACCCTTTAGCATTCTGTGTAGGACAAGTCTAATAGCAATGCATTTCCTCAGCTTTTGTTTAAATTCTCCTTCATTTTAATATAGAATTTTGGAGTAACAAGGTTTTCCTTTCAGCACTTTAAATATGCTACCCCACTGCTTTCTGGCTTCTGTGGTTTCTGATGGGGAAGCAAGTGTTGGCCTTACTGAGGGTCCCTTGTACATGATGAGTCCCTTATCTCTTGCTGCTTTCAAGATTCTTTTCTTTATATTTGGCTTTTGAGAGTTTGATTATAATGTGTCTCCCTGCACATATTGTTAAGTATCACTTAACTTGAAGTTTGTTGAGCTTCTTGGATGTAGACGCCTATCTTTCATCAAACTTGGAATTTTTTGAAGTATTTTTCTATCACTTTCTCTCTCCTCTCTCTCTGTTTTAATTTGTTATTCTCTGGAAGAGCCAGTATTCTCTACTCTTTCTGTGACCCTGATAATGCATCTGTTGATATACTTGATGGTATATCAAGTATATATGGTATTTTGGGATCTACTGATTTTTCTTCATTCTTTTTTCTTTCTGCTCCTCAGGGTAGATAATCTGAATTGACTTATGTTCAGTTTCGCAGACTGTATCTTCTGCCTGCTCAAGGGGTCGCTGTTGAACCTTTTAGTGAACTTTTCATTTGTTATTGAACTTTTAAGCTCCAGAAAATCTAGTCGATTCCTTTTTATAATTTATTTTTATTAGCATTACTTATTTGGTGAGATATCATTGTCTTGTTTCCATTTGGTCTTTGAGCATATCGAAGACAGTGAATTTAAAGTATTTGTCTAGTAAGTCTAATGACTTGGCATTCTCAAGCACAGTGTCTATTTCCTTTTTCCCCCTGTAAGTGTGTCATAATTTCTGATTACTTTGCATATCTTTTTTGCTGGAAACTGGACATTTTGAATTACCATTTTGTGGCAACTCACATTTTTCTCCATCACCAGGGCTAGTTGTTGCTGATAGTTGTGTGTTTAATGACTTTTCTGAACTCCTTTTGTAAAGACTCTTCTTTGCTGCATGTGACCACTGGGGTCTCTTCTCTCTCGGTGCAGTGAGAGTTAGTGATTAGGCATATTTCCTTAAATGCATAGTAAAACAGAGACACACACTCCTGACCCTTCCAGTCTTTGCAGGTCAGCCCTTTGTTGGGGCACACCCTCAATACTAAGGCAAACCACCATCTACTCTGCATTATTCTTTACTCCTTCCTTATGCAGAACCAAATCTGCCTCTTCTTTCTTCATTAAGTGTTTCCAAGTTGTTCCCAGATACTGGAATTTCAAAAAAGTTGGTTATGAGTTTTACTACCTTATCATTACATTAGCTACATTAGAGGGAGATGGGCTTTGGGGTTCCTTACTTGCTGTGTATACTGTTGTTCTTCCTAGGGACACATTTCCTCCCAGGCGCAGGGTGTGAGTATATTTAACTAGGCGCACACCAAGATCCAGGTGCAGCAGCACAGTGGGGCCCCAGTGAACGGAGATGCTGCCCCATTTCCCAGAGCTCTGGCTGGCGAAGAGAAGCCAGCTGTGCAGGGTGTGTGGAGCTCTGTCTTGGTGCCACCTCCCGCTTGTTGGAGACAGCGTTCAGCAGCACCATCTTTATTAGCATTCCTCTGTGATGGACGCATTCCAGAGCACTGACCAAGTGTATTTTGATAGTTTTCCCAGCTTAATCACGGCTTAAGTGAAGGGATGCATTCTGGATTTCCCAGGCAATTTGTGGTGACCTCATTCACCAAAGCTGTTTCGTGCCCTCAGTCTGTGCACCCAAGTCTGGGAGCGGACTGTGAAATAGGCTGGCATGACGGGCCAGTGCAGCCAGGTCTGTGTCCCCAGCCACAGCAGACATAGATTTCTGTCATTTACAAATTACCAGCTTACAGCTGACCCCTCCTCTCCCCCAGAGTTCAGGCTGGTCAACGGCAGCAGCAGCTGTGAGGGCCGCGTGGAGCTCCAGGTGCAGGGGTCCTGGGCGCCCCTCTGTGCCACCCACTGGGACATAGCAGACGCCACCGTCCTCTGCCACCAGCTCAACTGTGGCAACGCGGTGGCCGCACCTCGAGGAGGCCATTTTGGGGGCGGGGACGCAGCCATCTGGCCTGAGGCGTTTCACTGTGAGGGGACAGAGTCCTACTTGTGGAATTGCCCAGTAAGCACCCTGGGGGCCCCGGCCTGTGCCCCGGGAAACTCGGCCTCCGCAGTGTGCTCAGGTGGGTGCAGCCAGGACGGTGGAAGAGGAGGAGGGTGAGTGAGAGCCATGGACAGAGGGTGCAAGGAAGGACAGAGGGGCTGAGAGGGACCTGCCTGCCTGGGGGGGTGGTCCTGGGTCCCTCCCCTCTGACGCCCTGGGGCCCCGTGCGTCCCCATCCCCAGGTTTCCCCCATGCGCTGCGGCTGCGGGAAGGACAGAGCCGCTGTGACGGCCGCGTGGAGGTCTCCCTGGACGGCGTGTGGGGCCGCGTCCTGGATGACGCCTGGGACCTGCGCGGCGCGGGCGTGGTGTGCCGGCAGCTGGGGTTCGGAGGGGCCCAGCGATCCTACGACGCGCCCGCCCCCAGCCGCGGGTCCATCCAGGTGGCGCTGAGCTGCGCGCGCTGTCTGGGCACCGAGACCCGCCTGACCCGGTGCAACGTGTCCGCGACGCTGCGGGAGCCCGCGGGGACCTCGCGGGACGCTGGCGTGGTGTGCTCGGGTGAGGGCGGAACCGCGTCCCGCGTGGGCAGTGGGGCACCGTGTGTGACGACGCCTGGGACCTGCGGGACGCGCACGTGGTCTGCAGGCAGCTGGGCTGCGGTCGCGCCCTGAGCGCCCCGGGGACCGCGCACTTTGGAGCCGGGGCGGGGCGCATCTGGCTGGACGAGCTGCGCTGCCAGGGCCACGAGTCTGCGCTGTGGCAGTGCCCGTCTGCAGGCTGGGGCCGGCACGACTGCAGGCACAAGGAGGACGCCGGAGTCTTCTGCTCAGGTCCTGAAGCCTGTCCACCCTGTCTCCCCACCCACACTCTTAGCTGGGCCTTGCTAACCTGACTGGCTTCTCTCTGCAGAGTTCACGGATGTGAGGCTGCAGAGCCACAGGCAGCCATGCGCAGGACGGCTGGAAGTTTTCTACAATGGGACCTGGGGTGATGTCTGCCGCACCCTGAGTGTGGCCTCCCTGCGGGTCCTGTGTGGGCAGCTGGGCTGTGGGTCTCACGGGCAGCTGCAGGCTGCGGCAGGGAGCCAGTCTGCCACTGAGTTTCTCTGGGTGGCCTCCATCCAGTGCAGGGACAGACATGACCAGTCCCTGTGGCAGTGCCCGTCAGCTCCCTGGGACCAGCATTCATGCTCCAGTGGAGAGGAAGCCTGGGTCCTGTGCATGGGTGAGTGGGTGGGCCCGCAGGTGTGGGGGAATGGTGGTGGAGAGGGGTCTCTGAGTGGCCCCACACTGTGTCTGCATGGGCCCTTTCCTAGGAGAGGAAATGTCAGCTTCCCTTGTCCTCATTCTGCATGACTCTGCCCTGTGCTGGTCCAGTGAAAGGGGACGGTCCCTGCTCTGAGGCTCTGCGCTGCGGGGGTGGGGAACATCTGGAGTCTTCCCAGACCCTGTGATCTCCCCCAGTGAGGGAAGCAGGGCCCCTGCACCTCCCGGTATTGTCCGAGGACATCTTGCAGGGAGATGTGCCCCTTGGAGAAGTCTCAGGCACAGTCTGTGGAATCTGTAATCCCATGTGGAGATCCCTTGCATAAACAGAGTTCTCTCTTTAGCCAGCAGAAATCGCTGTGCTGGGGAGACAGAGAGAAAAAGGAAATGAAAAATAGTTTACAAAATTTAAGCTGCTGAGCTTGCAAATACAGAAGCGGGTCCCAATTTCCTACGCAGAAAAGGCAGGAGAAGTTCCTCAGGACCCTGGGGAGACCGTCAACTGCTCCTCCTCGCTCAGCTGCCCAGGTACCCGTCTGTCCTTGTCCCTGTCCTCCTTCCCACCCCGTCCAGCCCCCTGAGTGACGGCAGCCCCTTTTCCAGAGGAGGGCGCAGTGCGTTTGCGCGGGGGCCAGGCCCGCTGCTCCGGGCGCGTGGAGCTCTGGCACGCGGGCTCCTGGGGCACCTTGTGCGACGACGCCTGGGACCTGGCGGACGCGGAGGTGGTGTGCCGCCAGCTGGGCTGTGGTCCCGCCGTCGCCGCCCTGGCGGCCGCCGCCTTTGGCCCTGGCTCCGGGCCGGTGTGGCTGGACGAGGTGGGGTGCCGGGGCAGCGAGGGGTCCCTGCGGGGCTGCGCTGCGGAGCGGTGGGGACGCGGAGACTGCGCGCACAAGGAGGATGCGGGCGTGCGCTGCTTGGGTGAGCGGGGGTGGGGACCGCTGGGCAGAGGGCGCTGGGCAGTCCTGTGGTGGTCTGTCCCCTTTCCCCTCAAGCGGATCCCCAGCACCCAGCCCTGAGGCTGCCCCAGGCATGGTCCCTCACGGCTGCTCCTGGCTAGGCTGCTTGGGACCAGACCTGTCAGCTCAGGCTGAGTGGGCTGGGGGGTCTGCGGGGGTCTGCGCAGCTCAGGGCTGTAGCTGCCTCCCCATCCGGGCCCTCACGTGCCACCGTTTACTGCAGGTGACTCGGGGACCACAGTGCCGCCGTCACACCTGGGTAGGTGGTTTTCTCAAGCTCAAGTCCTGCTGTGTGTCTGAGCCCCGCTGGGGACTGCCCTGGGGCTCAGGGCTGACCATGCTGACAGGGCACCCATGATGGAAAGTTCTCTCCTTCCCTGTGCCCACCTGAGTGAATATATGGGGACCTGGGGGTGTTGGGGACAGAGGCCCCAGGCCCCTCACAGCCACTTCTCTGGGGTCTTTGCCTTGGCAGCTAGGGGGCTTGGCCCTGGAAAGCTATGGCCCCTTGGACATTAGGTCTGCATCCAAGGCAGAGTTGAGGGCAGTGGGCAGTCAGGACAATAAGCACATTCCACAGGCCTAACCCCTCCCCGGATCATCACTCTGCTGCTCCTATCTGGGCCCACATACCTGGATTCTCCCACCTGCATTTTCCCGCCTGAGCCCTACACCTGTGCCTTCCACCTCCGCCTCACCACCTGTGCCCTCCCAGCTGTACCCACGGTCTGGGCCTACACAGCTGCATTTGTCCCCCTGTGTTCTCTCACCTGGGCCTTCCTTGCTTGCACCCAGTCTGAGCCTGTCAGCCTGGGTTCTTCCACCTGCACCCACGACCAGGGCCCACACACCTGGATTCTCCCGCCTGGGCCTCTCGTGCCATGACCTCAACCTGCCTCTCCAAGGAAGGAGCACCTGTTCAGGCAGCACAGAGGCCCACCTCTCTTGGGGTGCCGCCATCCCTGTGAGGCTAAGGTCCTCCCAGGCCAGGGTCACAATGGCCCAGGCAGCCCAGGTGCGCAGCAGGCCCCGCCTCTCACTGTGCCCCACAGCCCCTTCCTTGGTCCCTCCACCTGCCCACATGGCCTGGGCCCTGCCTGAGTTCACCTGTCTGGTACTTGGCTCCCTCCTGGGCATCATCTCTCTGTTCCTGGGGATGAAGTGGTGCCACCGCAGAGCAGCCTGCAGGGGTAGGTGGGCATGCCCAGGCATGGCGAGCAGGGCCCTGAGGTGGGGAGGCTGGGGGGCATGCTCTGTGGGACCCGGTCACTGCAGGTCACTGCCCTGCATGCTGAGTGGCCTTCCCCATGGTGACTGCTCAGTGACTCTCTGTGGACCCATGAGGTGTTGGGGGCTCAGGGACCCTATGTCTGAGTCTTGCTTTGCCCCCAAGATGTGCTGGATCAAGAAAATCCACACTCCCAGGACTGCCTGGAGTGAGAACGGGCTCCAGGGTTCTGCTGACCCTCTGTGACTTGTGCGCAATGGAGGTCCTTCCTGGGTGTGTTCAGAGGCTGAGACCACTGGCCCCACCCTAGGACACAAGCCCTGGGTGCCCAGAGTAGCAAGTGGCCCCTGTGGGGGTCTTTGCTCTCTGTGGGGGCTGCTGACAGAGGTGCCGGGGTGCTGGCATGCATGGAAGACCACAGGGGCCAGGCATGCTGGACTTAGACTGCAGGAGTATTTCTTCTAAAACATTCTGCTGTGGCCTTTGCAGGTTGTGGCATGTCAGGGCACCTGTCCTCAGAGGGTATCTATGAGGACATCGGAGCCTTCCCCATGGGGCAGAAAGACGAGGAACCTGCAGCGTCTGGGGACCTGGGCCTGGAGGAGAACTATGACGATGCCGGAGAGCCTGAGGATGGCGCTGAGGAGGAGACAGAGGAGGCCGGGGTGCTGCTGAGCCCTGCAGGTGTGCACCTCTGCGCCCTGGCGTCCATGGTGGTCTGCCTCCTGTACTGCTCCTATGCAGAGGGCTCTGCTCTGGCCAGCGCCTACATTTAAAGAAACTGAGCTGCTTCTCGTGAGTCCGTGACCCTCTCTTCTGTCTCAGGCTGGGGCATTAGGACTTCTGGCTGTCATCTGCGTGTTAGGCTGCATCTCCCAGTGGGTAGATGTGGACTTAGGGAGGTCATAGGTCTATATTTGGGTTACTTTTGCAGCTGTGCAGTATCTTTCCGGCATCTTGTCCCAGTTGGCTACAGGAGGGACCCTGGGCAGCCTGGGTCGCTGTGAGAAGCCATACCGCTCTCTCCCGACCCACCACACCCCATCCTTGTCCCTTGGTGACTTTGCTTCCCAGCAGCAGATGAGAACTCCTGAGCCTGTGAGAAATCGCTCAGAACCCCAGTGAGCCCTGTGTCTGTCTCCTTAAACACAGGTGGGGCTCCTTTCAGCCTGGGTCCCAAAGCTGAGGCTGGGATGGAAGACGGTGGTGGCCTCTGCCCCAGGACATGACCTGAAGCTGATGGTGGGGATGTCAGAGTGTTGAGTGACTGGATAAACCGGGGGAGCTGGGGTCTTCACTGCCCTCACTCTCAACAGATGTTATTAAACTCCCTTTGAGCTCACTTGTCCATCGTTAATTCAGTTCAGAAACGTTGAACAGACACCGCCATGGCCCAGGCTCTGTTGGTCCTTTGTCTTCTCATCTGAGGGCGATTTTGTGTGTTTTCAATCCAACATTGTTTTCACTGCTTTACTGAGCTGGGGTGTGGGCTGCTCCTCCTGGAACTCAGGCAGGAGGGTCAGGGGTCTCCCAGTCAGGCAGCCTCTTGGACCATTTCTTTCTTCTGCTCCCATCTCACCTCCAGGGTTGGGGGCCTAAGCTTCAGGGTGGTTCCCTGATGACCCGCCCCTGGGAGCCCCGCCTTTCATCTACACACACAGTGCTGCAAGGGATGGTGAGCGCTCAGCTGGGGGCTTGGAGCCAGAATCTCCATTTCTTACAGCTGCATTGCTCTGATAGGCCCCCAAGCTCTCCCTGACCATCCCCACTGCTGACCACACACTCCCAGGACCTGACCTGCCAAAGATCCCACCCACCCAGGACCCCACCACCGAGGACCCCCCCCACCCAGGAACCCCCACCCTGGACCCCCTCACTCAACACACCCCACCCAGGAACCCCCACTCAGGACCTCCCCATGCAGGATCCCCCCACTCAGGAACCCCCCACCCAGGAA